AGATGAATTTAAGCTCTGGCATGTTGAAATATACACTCTTACATTTTTGTTTTTCATTTATTTTTTTAAATTTATTTATTTATTTATTTGTGTGTGTGTGTGTGTGTGTGTGTGTGCGCGCGTGTGTGGCCTGCTCAGCCCACCAGGGGGCGCAGCTGGCTGGCATGTGGTGCTGGGGGATTGAACCGCGGTCCCTGTGCTTTGCTAAGCTTGTTCTAAGTAGGTGCTTTAGACCACTGAGCCATCTCACCAGCCCTATTTTTCATTTATTTTGAGATGGAGTCTTGCTTCGCTATTAGGGCAGGTGTCCAACCTGTACGCTCAAGCGACCCACTCACCTCAGCCTCCCCAAGGCTGGGATCACAGGGGTTTTACTCTTACCTTGTCTTTCTAACAGAACTGCCTTCAAAATTGACTTTATTGGAGCTTTGCCGGATAGCTCAGTTGTTTAAAGCACCACTTGAGTAAACGGAGGCAGGCGCATAGGACTGCGGTTCGATTCCCAGCTCCAGAAGCTGTACCAGAACTGCCCTTAAGGCAGCCTGAAGTATTCCCCCCCCCCAAAAAAAAAAAAAAAAAAAAAAAAAAACCAAAACCAAAACTCCTTCTCAAATGTGTGGGGCCAGGGATGTAGCTCAGTAGAATAAGCACTTCCACTTTACCATCACAGGGGAGTTAGGATAGCTCTGTTTAGTAGGAGTTCTCAGCTTTACGATGGCCAGTGTTCAGTAGAACTCATGTTTCAAGTTTGAATTTTGGCTTCCCTGGGGCTCACGAGCACTATGCAGCCTGTGCACAGTCCCACCCACCCTGTCGCACAACCACTGTCTCAAGGGGACAGTGGCCTGCAGGGCATGCTGCTACACAGCAGTGCTGGGCAGGTGGGGCCTGCTATGTGCACTCCCACTTCCAATATTTTTAATTTACAACGCGCCTCTTGGGCTCTGGTCTGTATTTGATAGATTCTGGCGCAGCTCCCGATTTTCTGCCTGATGTTGGCTTTGCACTGTGCCGCCTGCAGGGTGATGGAGGCTAAATATACAGTATTTAAAATACAACCTGCTGTCCTCCCAGGTGGCCACACTGAAAGATCCTCCTTAATTTCAAATATATTTTCAGGGCCGGGGAGATGGCTCAGTGGAATAAGCGCTTCCCTAGCAAGCACAAGGGTCTGAGTTCAATCCCCGGTTCCACCAAAAAAAAAAAAAAAAAAAAAAAAAAAAGTGTCCTCAAATATATTTTCGGGCTGGTGAGATGGCTCAGTGGTCTAAAGCACCTACTTAGAACAAGCTTAGCAAAGCACAGGGACCACGGTTCAATCCCCCAGCACCACATGCCAGCCCGCCCCTCCCCTGGTGGGCTGAGCTGGCCACACACACACACATACACACATAAATAAATACATAAAATTAAAAAAAAATTTTCATCAACAACAACTAAATTAGAAGAAAAAGGGATGAAGTTTTAAAACCTAAAAGTTGAATCCCGAGCAATGCAACCGAGAATGCAAAAGAGTGCATCTTACATGACAAAGGTGTTGTGGGCAACTGAGTTAGATAGAAATATTATGGCAGTCAGATAAGGCTGGGCTCTCCTGGAAGGAGCCAGTAGGAAAGACAAGATACCTTGCAGCTGTGGGAGGGACAGGCACTTCCACTGGGGGCCAGGCCTCGAAACAAAAGAATAAACAAACGCAGCAACATAACTCCCTAAGGATGGACATCAGGGACTGACATTCAAAATAGGCATCGATCACCTTGAAAAAGCCAGAAGGAATCACTAACCCAACCCTCTACAACAGTCCGTTTTCTGTACTCAAGTCCACTTGCTATGCCATGTGACTCGCTTTCCCATTTGATCCCAATTTAATCAATTTTACCTCAGCAACTGTGCTTGTAATCTTATTGGTTGACCAGAGTTTTGTCCCACCTCATGCCCACGTTTCCATTTCTCATGTTTCCCCACCTTAGACCTGACTCCCCCCACGGTTTTGCTCTATTAAAGTCCCTAGAAAAGGCCGGGTCCTTGGCATCCCACCTGGGTCCCCCTCTGTCTCTCTCGGACAGCTTTCCTTCCTGCAATAAATATATTCTGCTCTTAAACCTGTGTTGTCCTAAAATTCATTCTTCGGTTTTAGAGAACATGAACTCACACCAAACATGTAGCAGGCTGGGAGTTTCTTTCCACTATATCAACATCACTTTAGGTAAATTTTCATGAAGCCAAAAACTCAAATATAAAAAATGCAATCACAAAACATCTATTAGTGGGGCTGGAGAGATGGCTCAGTGGTCTAAAGCACCTACTTGAAACAAGCTTGGTCAAAGCACAAGGACCACGGTTCAATCCCCCAGCACCACATGCCAGCCAGCCCCGCCCCCTGGTGGGCTGAGCTGGCCACACACACACACACAATAAATAAATGTAATAAATAAAAATAAATAAATATTTAAAAAAAATCTATTAGTATCTGCTCATTTTCTTGTTTACTGTACTAGTTTTGTCTTGCAGTGTTCAACCCCCAGCAAAATGAGTAGAAAATAAAGATAAGTAGATATATTTTTAAGGGTGGGATGGAAAAGACCTTTCTAAATACCTCCTAGAATCTACAGGCTACGAAGGAAAACTTTTAGAAACCTTAATCCAAAAAATACACATCAAGGCAATAGGATAAAGATGTATATGCAATGGACATGAAGAGGTATGACAGATGTACAAAGAGCACATCCGTGTTTGTTTTTAAACTCTGTAGCTCCGCAGAAAAAAAGGAGCAGAACATGAAAAAGACAATTTGTAGACGTGAAATGAATATAAATCATATGCATGTGTATTAACTAGACATCACGGTGGAAATAAAGAGGAGTTCTGATGTATTATACAAGCAGTAATTAAAAGATCAGCAGGAGACAGCCTGGTAATTAGGGACTGAGGGGCTCCCTGTGCTGCAGCAGCAAGGCGACTCCGTGAACACTGGGGGCAGCGCAGCACGCTGGGGTATTCACCACTGTGCCTTTCATGCAGGAATGGGCTTCTGGAATCTACCAGAAGGACATAAGTATCCAAATGTCAAAATATTATGCACTCAGAATATTCATGGTAACTTTGCTATGTTAAAAATCCAGAACAGGGGGCCTGCCCCTTAGCTCAGTTCTTTAAGTGGCTACTTCAACAAAGCAGTCAGGCTCAGGTTGCTGCGGTTCGATCCCCACAACTCAAGCCAGCCAGTCATGCCTTGAAGGCATTCGGAGCAAAAAAAAAACCAAAACACTTCTTCCACTCTTTCCTCACTGTTCGTGAGCCTGCAAGCATGGTGAACGTTCCCAAACCCCGCGAACTTTCTGTAAGAAGTGTGGCAAGCATCAACCCCACAAAGTGACACAGTATACAAAAAAGGCAAAGATTCTCTATATGCCCAGGGAAAGCGGCGTTATGACAGGAAACAGAGTGGCTATGGTGGGCAGACTAAGCCAATTTTCCGGAAGAAGGCCAAAACTACAAAGAAGATTGTCCTGAGGCTTGAGTGTGTTGAGCCCAACTGCAGATCTAAGAGAATGCTGGCTATTAAGAGATGCAAGCATTTGGAACTGGGAGGAGATAAGAAAAGAAAGGGCCAAGTGATCCAGTTTTAACTTTTCATGTTTTTTATTGTGAAGACAATAAAATCTTGCTGTGTTCAAAAAATAAATAAATAAATAAAAATAAAAATCCAGAACAGAGGGCCGGGGAGATGGCTCAGTGGAATAAGCGCTTCCCTGGCAAGCGCAGGGGCCTGAGTTCAATCCCCGGTTCCGTCAAATTAAAAAAAAAAAGAAAATCCAGAACATTGAAAATAGCCCTAAAATTTTCATCACGAGACACTATGCTATTTGCTGTTTGCGCCCAGTAATCAATAACACTTATGATAAAACTCTGCATCTATCAATATGAAAAGATGCCTATAAAAGAATGCACACTGAATTGCACTGATAAACTTCTTTTTCTTTTTCTTTTTTTTTGTGGAATCAGGGATTGAACCCAGGCCCTTGGGCTTGCCAGGGAAGCACTTATTCTACTGAGCTATCTCCCCGACCCCTGCACTGATAAAACTTCTATACAAGAGATGTCCATGAAATAATACAACAAAAGGAGGTTATTTACTGGTTCCAGAACCTCATGAATAATACAGTCCAGTTATTAAAAATATAGACATTTATTCAATACATAAAGATGACTAGAAGGACATTTATACAAACATTGAAGAGTGGTTTCTAGATTATGGAAGCTTGAAAAGAATCTTTCTGATTTGTATTTATTTGTAATTTTGGGATTTGAGAATACATGCATCCTGATCATAAAGGCACTAAATCTAGTTCCAAAGAAAGAAAATGTTAAACAATATTCTTAGAGCTGATGTTTTGCGATTTTACTTTTTTTCTTTCTTTTTTTTTTTTTTTTTTTTTTTTAGTATATGTACTGCCAAAGTGAACACATCTGTCACTTTTCAATCAAGGAAAGAATGTGGCCTGGTACTCATCTTAGATGATAACCTTCATTACCAAGGGAAAGAGCTTTTCACACGCAGTCCTGGACAGCTTTTCACAGTCACTAGGATGCTTTCTAAACACAGCGCTCTAGGACCCCTGCCCTCCTACTACCCTGCCTTAGCCAAACCTGACAGCCCATTGTCTGTGGGTTAGGAAGCCAATACGGGTCGCAAGCACTTCGGGTGACAAGTGCATGTATTTGAGTCTGAGAACCACTATTTAGGAAGGGAAAACAGGAAAGGGTAGCAAGTTCCGCTGCACCATGCATGTGTACCTACACAGTCATTCTGTCTGCTCTTTCTTACTTTGTCTCTCCATCTGTTTTCCCCCAATCTACAGAAGCTGAAAGCAAAATGAATAAAGGCACTGAGTATCAGGTGTTGGGAGGGGGGATTAAGCTATTTAAGAAAACCCAAAGAATGATGGATAGGCAAAGCAATAACTAATCCTTCAACCTTGATTTCAGTCTCCACTTACTTGGTACTTGGGTTTTTGATGAAGCCAGTGTTAATGAAATTCGGGCAGAGACAAGTTGTTTTGACTCCAGTTCGCTCTAAGGCTGCCAGTTCCTCAGTCAAAGCTCTGTGAAATCCAACAGCAGCAAACTTGCTGGAGCTGTAAATGAAGAGAGTTTAGGAAGGAATGGAATGCCACAGTGTGGAAAGAAATAACAGACCTTACTCTGACCTAGGTAAGATTTGAGTGGCTTTTGCTCTTCTCTCAAGGCTGGTGTTGATGGGCCCTAACTTCCAGATGTGAAAGTTAGGTCAATCTATCTCAGAGGAGTATTCCCGAGATATTGCTGACATGTTCTCTTTCTCACTGAGTCTGTTGTCTCATAGATAAATATTCTTAAGATTCGTTTTCTCTTGGGTTGGAGGCCCCATGAGGTTTGTTTTTTGTTGCAGGGAGAACCCTGTGTTACCTTACCAGGGAATCTATGGGAATGTTGGCAGTTTGTTTTGGTTTGAAATCCAGCCAAGAATCTAAATTAGTAAAGAAAAGAAAAGGAAAGCTAAATTTCCCAGGATGTTATTGTCCATTTGTTTGTTTGTCTGAATTGTTTGTTCTCTGTCCCCAACGTGCCTGTGTCCCCAGCTGCACTTGTGCCAGCGCAAGGGCAATGGTATTAGTTGTTTCTTTCCCCTTTTGCCTTTTGTGATAGTCTACCTAGAAATGCAGAAGGATGCAAACCTAGCTTCATTGCCCTCTTACATTCCAGTTATTGCTGCTGTGTCAAATTACATTAGTCTTGGGCTTCTACTGTGTGGACCGAGAGGGGACACTGCTGAGAACTTTGATATGGCCGGATCGGTACAGAGCAAACCGATTGTCCTGGGCTGCATGATTCGGAACTTTGATGGGTCCTGAGGTGAATGTGGGGAATGCTTTTGGGATTCCTGTTGTCTCATCCTGGGCATTGTGGCATCCAGGGGAGCTTCAGCCACGGGTGCTACAGCCGCTGTTCTTGCTTCGTCTTCTGGGTTCTCTTCCTTTCTCTACCCCCTCTTCTCACAGTTGAACTGATGGTAGGGTAATAATAGCTCACAGAGCTCACTAGCTCAACTCATGGGCCCTTATCCATCCTACCCTTTCTAGGGAGGTTTACTGCTCACCTTTCCCTGCCCCCCAGCCTCGTGGGCAGCTGCTTTCCTGCTGCGGCCACAGGGAGGGGATTCTGAGTCTCCTCCCCTAGCCTATGCTTCTTCTGGTTATCTGCTGCAAACTGCAAAAAATAAAAAGTTTGCAGGGGGGCTGGTGAGATGGCTCAGTGGTCTAAAGCACCTACTTAGAACAAGCTTAGTAAAGCACAGGGACCGCAGTTCAATCCCCCAGCACCACATGCCAGCCAGCCCTGCCCCCTGGTGGGCTGAGTTGGCCACACACACACACACACACACACACACACACACACACACAAATGAAAAAAAAAAAAAAGTCTGCAGGAATAAGTTACTGCTCTATAGCAGAGAAAGTACAAAATAAAAATATAGACAGGAAAAAAGTGTCTCATCATAGTTTAATCTGTCCAGAAATACATTTGAGTGCACTCTGGTTTTGTAAAGATATTTGTTTGATTTACATATTTGTTTATAGATTTACATGTTGTTACCTAAGCTTTAAAGATATCTTTTTTTTTTAATTTTATTTATTTATTTGAGAGAGAGAGAGAGAGAGAGAGAGAGAGAGAGAGAGAGGCCAGCTCAGCCCACCAGGGGGCGGGCTGGCTGGCATGTGGTGCTGGGGGATTGAACCGCGGTCCCTGATGCTTTTGCTAAGCTTGTTCTAAGTAGGTGCTTTAGACCACTGAGCCATCTCTCCAGCCCCTACCTAAGCTTTAAATATAGATTCTAAAGTGTGTTTTCTCCTGAGTTAACAGCTGGTCTAAGTGATATCTAAATTATATATATATATACATATATATATATATATTCATGTCAAGCCAACATGAACAAAAACTTATGTGATATATATGATAACTAAGCTAGACAAATTTATCTTCACTTACGTTACTATATATATATTTACATATATACATACATATATATATGTGTGTGTGTGTGTCAAATGTTCACTATAAAAGTATAATTGTTGACTGTTAACACTCTACTGGGATTTAACCACTGAAATGTCCATGGCTGATAAAAAATAACAGTTCTCAAAAAAATAAATAAGGGCCGGGGATGTGGCTCGGTGGCGCAGCGCCTGCCCAGCAAGTGCAAGGCCCCGAGTTCGATTCCCGGTACCAAAAAAGAAAATAGTGAAAATAAGATCAAAAAAAGTCCCTTTGGGAAAAAATAAATAAATAAATAAAAAATACCAGTTCTCTGGTCACACTTTATATTTAAGGTGCTTAAGTCTGCTTCCACCTAACTGGATCTGGTATGCTGTGTTACATTTAAAGATAGATTCTTTTGTATTCTCTTGGCAGCTGCTTCCCAGGAGTTGTTTGCCTTTAACAGGAGGATCCAGAAAGAGGGAGACACAAGTGCCAGTGATGTGGACATGACATCCCAAGGATTCAAAATTCGGTTTACTTTTCTTGGAAAAGTTTTATCAAAAAACCTGATGCCTTTTGCTAATAACAATCCTAAGTTTTCTCTCTTACAGTATATAGATGATTTGTTATTAGCTAGAGGAACCCAAGACCAAAAAGAGTTATGAGAGTTCCTGGAAATGTGGATTTTTGTTGTTTTTAGGTGTCAAGTTTTGCCTCTGTTGCTAAAACCTTATATAAAACCCTGAAGGGAGGTAATAGCGTCCCACTTGGATTAGAATTCAGAACAGCAAAAGCACTGATAAATTAAACAAGAAACTCTTTTTTTTTTTTTTTTAATTTCATTTATTTATTTTGTGTGTGTGTGGCCAGCTCAGCCCACCAGTGGGCGGGGCTGGCTGGCATGTGGTGCTGGGGGATTGAACTGCGGTCCCTGTGCTTTGCTTGGCTTAGCTTGTTCTAAGTAGGTGCTTTAGACCACTGAGCCATCTCACCAGCCCAACAAGAAACTCTTAAGGGCTCGGGCTCGGGCTCTGGCCCTACCAGACATCACTGAGCCCTTTCAGCTGTTTGTTCATAAAAAAGAAGTAGTTACAAGGAGAGTCTTAACTCAGACCTTAGGGCTATGGAAGCGCCCCACGGCCTATCTGTCCAAAGACTGGAGTATGTGGCTTGCTGGGTGCCATCATGCTTACAAGCTGCTGCAGCAGCTGCTGTATTAGTAAAAGAGACTGACAAATTAACTCTGCGACAGAAGTTGAGCATGTTCGTGTCCCATGAGATGGAGATACTGCTGTAGGGTCCTAGTAGAAAGTGGCTCTCTGGCTTTAGGCTAGCCCAGTACCACACAGCCCTCCTTAAGGACTCACACCTAACTCTTGAGACTATACAGGTCAATAACCCTGCATCCCTCCTTCCAATGTCATTGGAACCCCCAGAGAAAGATTATGTAAAGACCATGAGGCTATTTATTTTATAAGACCTGACTGCAGGACACACCACTCCAAGACCTCGTCTTGTTTGCAGATGGAAGCAGTATGGTAATAGATGGGGCATGGAGGGCAGGAGCAGTGGCTGTGATTGTGGAAAGATCAGTGTGGTCAGCAACACTGCCCCCAGGGACATCAGCTCAAAATAAAGAGGCCTCCTAACCGCAAGAGGAAAAGACATAAAAAACTCCCAAGAGGGGCCGAGAGATGGCTCAGTGGAATAAGTGCTTCCCTGGCAAGCGCAAGGACCTGAGTTCAATCCCTGGTTCCACCAAAAAAATAACCAAAAACCTCCCAAGAGGGGCTGGTGAGATGGCTCAGTGTTCTAAAGCACCTACTTAGAACAAACTTAGCAAAGCACAGGGACCCCAGTTCAATCCCCCAGCACCACAGGCCAGCCAGCCCCGCCCCCTGGTGGGCTGAGCTGGCCACACACAGAAAGAAAGAAAGAAAGAAAGAAAGAAAGAAAGAAAGAAAGAAAGGTAGCCTTTAAAAAAAAAAATCCCAAGAGATTTTCTTGTTACAGAAAATATGGTAGCCCATTAAAGTGGCAATGATACACCATCCTGTTTTTTGTTTTTTTTGTTTTGTTAGGGAACCGGGGATTGAACTCAGGCCCTTGTGCTTACCAGGGAAGCACTTATTCCACTGAGCCATCTCCCTGGCCCCGATACACTGTCCTGGACATCAAAAAGGCCGAGGCAATAGGGCTGCTGACCTGACAGCAAAGCAAGCTGCTGTGGGGGACTCACTGCCAAAAATACAGGTCATGTTAGTGCCACTCCTTCAGCCACCCAAATATTTTGAGACTGAGTTATTGTGGGCCAAGCCAGAAGGGACATCAGAAAAAATGGGTGACAAATCTTGTCAGGAGAAAAATATTTTTTTTTGTCTAAACACATGGGACATTTTGTGATTCGGAAACTATATGACAAGACCCATCTGAAAAAGATAGCTATGACCAAGCTGCTTGGCCACTATTTTTATATCTCCGGGCTTTAGACCTTGTACACCTCAGCGGCCAGCAAATGTGTGACTTATGCTAACAATAATCTAGTTTCTCACCCACAGTGTAAACCAGGTGTCTGCCGACAGGGAATCTTCCCTTTTGAAGATGTCAAAGTAGACTTTACTGAGGTCAAGCTGACTGTTAGAAACAAAAGTACTTGTTGGTGCTAATTTACAGCTTCTCAGGATGGGTGGAGGCCTTGCCCTCCAGACTTGAGACCTCTAGAGAGGTGATAAAAACACTGATAAAACTAATCATCCCCAGGTATGGGCTCCCCATTAAGATAGGCTCAGATAATGGGCCTAGTTTTGTGGGTAGAGAGCCTTTCCAGTGTTTTGGGCCTGAAATAAAAGCTAGATACTGCCTACTGTCTCCAAAAGCGTGGGCCAAATATAGTGACAAAACCGCACCCTGAGGAGCACCCTGTCCAAACTGTGCCAGGAGAGAGGTACGGACTAGGTGCCTATGCTTGTGACAGCCCTGCTGCTGTCATGCTGCGCCCCTACCAGGATGGGCTCACTCCTTTTAAAATCCTATTTAGAAGAATGCCACCCTTGGTGCCAGTATTGGAGAAAATATAAAAGATTGAGATACAAGGGATCATGCCCTTTGAATCCCT